ACGTGATTTTCCGTTTTGTTTGCGTCAATCTCGTCTTGATGCGTTTCAATATATGGAGAGAGAATAAAGATATCTTATTATTTATTACAATCTCGTATTTGTGAAAAAAAATCACTAATGATTCCTATTCTGATTATATTTCTTACCAATTGTATTTATGTAAATATTTCTAATCTAGAGGATAAGTATGTATTTTTCCCGAACTAAAATATTCGGCGTGATGCACATTATGGGTCATCCCAATGCTCCACAAGTTACATAACATAATGAAGAATACTTTAATTTATAAATAGTATTTTATTAGTTTAGACGTGTGAAGATAATTAAATATTAACAATGTTTATTAGGATAATGATTGATTTGATTAGATTGCTCCAAGTTACATATGATGAATACTTTAATTTATAAAGCGTATTTTATTAGTTTAGACGTGGGAAGGTAACTAAGAAATAGACCTTGTGTAATATTGGAGCATAAATTATTTGATTTGATAAGATGATTACCATTTGATAAATAATTAAATAGGCAAAGAAAATCAATTTTATAATTATTTATTCCAAAAAACTCTTATATTGAGTCGGCAAGCCTTTGATTGATGACTGGTTTGGATTTGGTCTTCACAGGGCTCGATTGAGGGTGTGTTTCCTTCTCTTGCAGCTCCTATCTCGGTTCTCTTTTGTTGCGACTAACGATGTTCCGTTGTTCGAAGATTGGTTTGGGTGTGGCCGAGGCGTCTTAGTATCTCGAGACGGGGGAGCTGGTGCTGCAGCGTCGAGACAACTCCTTATCCCCATTTCTATATTTTAGGGCTCCGAAGGGAACACTTCTCCTACCGAGTCCACTAGTGGTGTTAGGGAGCTCGGTCTGGCGGTGTTGGGAGCTTTCTTGGTCTGGTGTAGGGGAGAATTGACTTTGGGTGGATTCGTGGTTTTGATTTTCGATTCAGCTAGGCGATTTGGCAGTGGAGGGGTCGATTGATTGGATGACTGCTTGTCTAATTGGTTTGCTGTAGAGGGAGGGTTGTTAGATTTATTTTAATTTATTTGTGTTTTTGTTTCTTGTGTCCGTATATGTGTTGCGAGTGTATTGTGCTTTTGGTTTGGGTCGTTGACCCCTGTGAGCCCGAGTGTCAAACTTATTATCCTGTTGGGATCCGATACTCGAGTATTACCCTGTTGGGATCCTTGTAGGTTGTTTTAGTTGTTTGTGTTGTTAGTTAGTTTAGTTTCAAGTATTTTTTTGTTCTAGCGTTGCTAGCCGGGATTCTAGGCAGTCTTCTGACCTGTCCTCTCACTTTTTCAGCTGTTGGTTGCTGTGTATTCAACCTTTGGTTGTTGTGTCTTCGCACATTTGTGCATTTTGATTTATAATATTTTCTATAGTTTCAGAAAAAAAAGTCTTTCAAAATTAGTTTTTTTTATTAAGGTAAATTCAAATTGTTACTAAATAAATAATTAAAATTTAATTATAAGTTTGGACGGGTCAAACCTCCAACTCACCTCAAACTTCATATTTAGTCTAAAAGGTACAAACAAACCAATACTTAAACTATGTTTTGAAGTTGTCCAATGATTAAGCATATCAATTATCATACTTTTCTAACAAAAATGCATACTTGTTCCATGAAATGACATACTTTTGTTTATGTTGATTTTTAAAATATGAATTCCAGTATGTATATTTATTAAAAAATATGGGTGTAAAATCGCTAGTTTTGCTAACAATAGCCTCACTAAACTTAAATTATTTGCAAACCAGAGAAAACAAGGACAAATTGAATAGTAAGTGATAAAACTTTTCTCTATCCTCGGCAAAAAAATCCCCAAATCTATAACTCCCGAAACCTGCTCGTCGTTTGTGCCTCCTCACTACCGTTGGCTTCGCTCCACCCTTTTTCTGTTGACGATATTTTTCGTCAGTCTTTTCCCCAGTAGATTATTTGCCTTGCTGGGGTGTCGGCCTCCCGTGAGTCACTGACCATGCACCGGGGACTCACGGTCTTCCACAATACTCCTGCCCTAGGGTGTTGGGGCATTCTATTGTTTTTGTCATTTGCCAGACTCAAACCCTGCACCTCTGAGTATAAGGTGAGAGTTGCGGCAAGTCTACCATGAGGCAGAAGCACAGTGGAAGACCGTGAGTCCCCAGTGCATGGTCAGTGGCTCACCGGGGATCCGTACCCGAACAAGGCAAAGAACCTACTGGGAGAAAGGTTGAAGAAAAATATTGTCAACAACAAGCTCTGGGGCAGATAATGTGATTTCTGTCTTGTCTTCGATCCCTTTCCCGGCGTGGCGTTTCTCCCTACATTGGGTGGCTATGGCGAAAGCATTGGTGGGGTTTTTCGACAACTCGGAGGCAAAGACGTTATTGCTGGAGTCGTTCGCTTCTTTTGTGGCTATCAGGGCTGAGGTCGACGCCTTTATTTCCCCTAAATCATGTTCGTTTCCCTGGTGCTAGAAAGGAGGGTTCTTCCACATGATTTTTTCTTCTCCGGTTAAATATAGTTGTGGTCGCCGGTTTTGTGTTGGAGGAGATAATAGGCGAGGGCCTCCAGGTGCTGTTCAAGTGGCGATCCCTTTGGAACGGTGATCTGGTTCGTGTGGTTGCGGATCTCATTACCCATGGCCATGTCCTAAGGAGTTTAGAGTTTTTAGATCCGTGACTTGGGCCGCGATCTTGTCTTTCTTGGGTGATCGTCTTTGGGTGTTGGCTCGTGTGTGGCGGTTTTGAAATAATTTAGTATCTTGTTATTAGTGTCTTTCCTTGTACAACGTGTTCTATGTGTCTTTGTGCGTGTTTTATAGTTTTATCTTCGTTTATACATGTTTTATAGTTTTATTCTTCTTTAAGAGTTTGTATTCTTCATTGTTGGATTATTGTAGTATTGTAGTGTGTTTGTGTAAGCGTTTCGAATCTTGGCTACCCTCATGTAGTCATCATACTAGATTCATTCATGTAGTCATCATACTAGATTCAACTGTGTAGTTGATTCGACTGTTACTAGCCGTTCTCTAACTTGTAAATATGTGTGCTATTTATAAAGTTTATTGGTTTAAAAAAAAAAAAGACACAAGAGTTTGGTAAAATTGTGTTATCAAAGTTTGAAAGTGGTGTAACAAAACCAAACAAGAACTATAGGGAATTATTTTGTGTTGTCTGTCTTGACACTAAGAATGGGAAACACATCACACCCATTATGTCCTTCCATTTGTTCGGTGTGTTAGAAGATTTAGGAGCCAAACCCGGAGACCAACAACAATGGGTTGCTTAATCTTTTCGGTTCCCATCCAATCACATTTTTTCCAAAAATAAAAAAAAAAAAAAAATAGTTATTATCTGAAAAAAGAGAGAGAAAAAAAGAAAAGGGCTGTCAATTGTATACTCTCATAGGTTTGTTTTGTTCCTCTCTTTTGCTTTTCCTGTCAATCAAGAAGCTTCATGTTTTCCTAATACTCCTTTTTTTATATTCCCAATTTCAGAAAAAAATCAAACATAAAAAAAAAAGAAANAAAAAAAAAAAAAGGAAAAAGAAAAAAAAAAGGGGGGGTTCTTGTGTTTTCTTTTCCTTGTCTTTGATTGTTGTTCAAAACAAGCTTCCATTTCCCAAAAAATCCCATGAAAAAGGGATTAATTGAACAACATTGTGTACAAAAGAGCTGAAATTAAAAGCACACACTGCACAGAAACAAGCTAATTAAGGGCATTGCATCAATCATTCAATCCTCTTGAAGGTTCTTGTTGTTTTTTGTTTGTCCTCCCATCGTTGTTTGTTCATCTGGGCTTGTCTTAAAACATGTCTTTCCGATTCTTGTCCGAACCGGC